TTGAATGTGTATGATGCTCGTTAGTATATATGTTGTTTCTGTTTTGTGATATCAAGTTGGATGTGTTTGATGGTAGTTAATACACTTGTTGTTTCTGTTGTGTGATATCAAGTTGGATGTGTTTCATGCTCGTTAGTATACATGTTGTTTCTGTTGTGTGGTGTCAGGTTGAATGTGTTTGATGTTCGTTAGTATACATTTTTTCAGTTTTGTGATATCTAGCTTGATGTATTTGATGCTCTTTAGTATACATGCTGTTTCTGTTGTGTGATATCAAGTTGGATGTGTTTGATGTTAGTTAGTATACATTTCTTTCTTTGTGTGATATCAATTTGGATACGTTTGATGCTCCTAAGTATACATTAATTTCTGTATTGTGATATCAAGTTCGATGTGTTTGATCCTCGTTAGTACACATGTTGTTTCTGTTGTGCGATATCAAGTTGAATGTGTTTGATGCTTGTTAGTATATATGTTGCTTCTGTTGTGTGATTTCAAGTTGGATATGTTTGATGCTCGTAAGTATACATTTTATCCGTAGTGTGATACCAAGTTGGATGTGTTTCATGCTCGTTTTAATACATTTTATCTTTTGAGTGATATCAAGTTCGATGTGTTTGATCTCCGTTAGTAGTCATGTTGTTTCTGTTGTGTGATATCAAGTTGAATGTGTTTGATGCCTGTTCGTATATATGTTTCTTCTGTTGTGTGATATCAAGGAGGATGTATTTGATGCTCGTTAGTAGACATGTTGTTTCTGTTGTGTGATATCAAGTTGGATGTGTTTGATGTTCGTTAGTATACATTTCTTTCTGTTGTGTGATATCAAGTTAGATGTATTTTTGATGTTCGTTAGTATACATTCCTTTCTGTTGTGTGATATCAAGGTGGATGTATTTGATGCTCGTTAGTACACATGTTGTTTCTGTTGTGCGATATCAAGTTGAATGTGTTTGATGCGTGTTCTTATATATGTTGCTTCTGTTGTGTGGTATCTAGTTAAATGTGTTTGATGCTCGTTAGTATACATGTTGTTTCTGTTGTGTGATATCAAGTTGAATGTGTTTGATGCTTGTTCGTATAGATGTTGCTTCTGTTGTGAGATATCAAGTTGAATGTGTTTGATGCTTGTTTGTATAGATGTTGCTTCTGTTGTGTGATATCTAGTTAAATGTGTTTGATGTTCGTTAGTATACATTTTTTTTTAATTTTGTGATATCTAGCTTGATGTATTTGATGCTCGTTAGTATACATGCTGTTTCTGTTGTGTGATATCAAGTTGGATGTGTTTCTTGCTCGTTATTTTACATTTCTTTCTGTTGTGTGATATCAAGTTGGATAAGTTAGATGTTCGTTAGTATACATGTTGTTTCTGTTGTGTGATATCAAGTTGAATGTGTTTGATGCTTGTTCGTATAGATGTTGCTTCTGTTGTGTGATATCAAGTTGAATGTGTTTGATGTTAGTTAGTATACATTACTTTCTGTTGTGTGATATCAAGTTGGATAAGTTTGATGCTCGTTAGTAGTCATGTTGTTTCTGTTGTGTGATATCAAGTTCAATGTGTTTGATGCTTGTCCGTATATATGTTTCTTCTGTTGTGTGATATCAAGGTGGATGTGTTTCTTGCTCATTATTTTACATTTCTTTTCCTTGTGTGGTATCATGTTTGAAGTGTTGATGCTCGTTAATACACAGGTTGCTTCTGTTATGTGATATCAGTTTGAAATTGTTTGATATTCTTTGGTATACATTTTTGTTTCTTGTTTCTGTTGTGTGATATCAAGTGGATGTGTTTGATGTTCGTTAGTACAAATGTCATTTCTCTTGTGTGATATCAAGTTGAATGTTTTTCATGCTCGTTATTTGACATTATTTCTGTTGTGTGATATCAAGTTGGATAAGTTTGATATTTAGACATATTGTTTCTGTTGTGTGATATCAAGTTGAATGTGTTTGATGCTACATGTTGGTTCTGTTGTGTGATATCAAGTTGGACGTGTTTGATGCTCGTTAGTTTGCTGTTGGTTATATTATTTTCTGTTGTGTGATATCAAAGTTTGATGCTCGTTAGTTTTGTTGTTCGTTAGATATAAAGCTGGATGTTTGATTCGTTAGTTTACCTGTGATATCAAGTTGAATGTGTTTGATGTTCCTGTTGGTTCCGTTGTACGATATAAAGATGGACGTGTTTGATGCTCGTTAGTTTACCTGTTGGTTCCGTTGTACGATATGAAGCTGGATGTGTTTGATGCTCGTTAGTATACCTGGTGGTTCTGTAGTGATATATAAAGCTGGACGTGTTTGATGCTCGTTAGTTTACCTATTGGTTTCGTTGCACGATATCAAACTGGACGTGTTTGATGCTCGTTAGTTTTCCTGTTGGTTCGTTGTACGATATAAAGCTGGACGTGTTTGATGCTCATTAGTTTACCTGTTGGTTCGTTGTACGATATAAAGCTGGACGTGTTTGATGCTCGTTAGTTTGCCTGTTGGTTCCGTTGTAAAGTTGATGTGTGTTTGATGTTGTTTCGTTAGTATCAAGTTGGATGATGCTCTTTCTGTTGTGTGATATCAAGGTGAATGTATTTGATGTCGTTTGATGTTGTTTCTGTTGTGTATATCAAGTTGAATGTTTCTTTCTTCTGTGTGATATCAAGTTGGATGTATTTGATGCTTGTTGTATATGTTTCTGTTGTGTGATATCATGTGTTTGACTGTTAGTATATTTGTTTCTGTTGTGTGATACCAAGTTGGGTGTGTTTCATGCTCGTTAGTACACATGTTGTGTCTGTTGTGTGATATCAAGTTGGATGTGTTTCATGCTCGTTAGTACACATGTTCTGTCTGTTGTATGATATAAAGTTATATTTGTTTGATGCTCGTTGTATACATATGTTGTTATAAAGTTGTTGTGTGATATCAAGTTGGATACGTTTGATGCTCCTAAGTATACATTAATTTCTGTTGTGTGATATCAAGTTGAATGTGTTTGATACTTGTTAGTATACACATGTGTGATATCAAGTTGGATGTGTTTGATGCGATATTTAAGTTGTTATGTGTTTGATGCTTGTTTGTATAGATGTTGCTTCTGTTGTGTGATATCAAGTTGGTGTGTTTAGATGTTTTCTTCTGTTGTGTGATATCAATCTTGATATGTTTGATGCTCGTTAGTATACATGTGTTTCTGTTGTGTGATATGATTGAAGTTTACATTTCTTTCTGTTTTTGTTTAACATTTACTTCTGTTGTGAGATATCAAGTTGAATGTGTTTGATGCTTGTTTGTATAGATGTTGCTTCTGTTGTGTGATATCAAGTTAAATGTATTATGTTTCTTTAGTATACTGTTGTTTCTTTCTGTTTGTGATATCAAGTTGGATGTGTTTGACGTTAGTATCTGTTGTTTGATAGTTGATATACAAATGTTTGATGCTCTGTTGTGTATATCAAGTTTGATGTTCTGTTCTGTCTTTTGATATCAAGTTGGATGAGTTTGATGCTCAATAGTACAAATGTCATTTCTCTTGTGTTATACCAAGTTGTATGTTTTTCAGGCTTGTTATTTTCTGTTGTAGTTGAATGTGTTTGATGCTTGTTAAGTATACATTACTTTCTGTTGTGTGATATCAAATTGGATAAGTTTGATGCTCGTTAGTAGTCATGTTGTTTCTGTTGTGTGATATCAAGGTGGATGTATTTGATGCTCGTTAGTACACATGTTGTTTCTGTTGCGTGATATCAAGTTGGATGTGTTTTATGCTCCTTAGTATACACGTTGTTTCTGTAGTGTGATATCAAGGTGGATGTATTTGATGCTCGTTAGTATACATGTTGTTTCTGTTGTGTAATATCAAGCTGGATATGTTTTATGCTCGTTATTATACATTTTATCTGTTGTGTGATATCAAGTTGGATATGTATGTTGGATTAGGATACATGTAACATTGGTTATGATTTTAATTACCTTACTTTCGTTTAGCATTAATATTTGTGTTGACAAAGATTTACCGTTATTTTAAATAACTGTTGTCTGAATGTGTTATTACAACATGACTGCGTTGTGATATAATATATTTGTTTGGTTCTCGTTAGTACAAATGCAGTTTTTCTTGCGTGATATCAAGTTGAGTATGTTTGATGTTCGTTAGTATACATTTCTTTCTGTTGTGTGATATCAAGTTGGATGTGTTTCTTGCTCGTTATTTTACATTTCTTTCTGTTGTGTGTTATCAAGTTTGATGTGTTTTTGATGTTCGGTAGTATACATGTTATTTCTTTGTGTGATAAAATTATGTTACACTTTCATAAGCTGTCCTTGTATATCTGTTGTTTAGTTGTGTGATATCAAGTGGATGTATTTGATGCTCGTTTGACATTTTGTTTCTGTTGTGTAATATCAAACTCCAAATTGGTATACATTTTTCTGTTGTGTGATATCAACCATGTATGTTGGTTGTGTTAATAAGGCATTGGTTATGATTTTAATTACCTTACTTTCGTTTAGCATTAATATTTGTGTTGACAAAGATTTACCTTGAGGGTTTCTGAAGACGAAGACGACTCCGCAAAAACCTGATACATTGACTTAAAAATGTGTTTTGCATAGATAAAGTGTCCGTGCTAAAAATGAAATGACTTAAAAGTTTGTGCAAGTTGGGTGTGTTTGCCAATATGCGTTTCATTTGATTCTGTTGACATTTTGGTATCCTTTTGTCTATTATAACCAGCCCCAAATAAGGAGCATTAAGGGACCTGTGTCTTATATGAGCATCCGATCTTGCAACAGCTAAAAATGAAATGACTTAAAAGTTTTGCAAAACAGACATTATTAAAAAGCATTATTACAAAAAACAAAAAAAAAACATTTTATCTGTTGTGTGATATCAAGTTGTTACCTAATTTTCAGTCGAGTTACTTTCCCTTGGTTCTGTCGAGTATAACACTTCCTGTTATTTACCCTTGGTTCTGTCGAGTGTGACGCTTGTTGTTACTTACCCTTGGTTCTGTCGAGCCTATGTTCTCGGCAATCTAGCCTTGTTCGAATAGTGTGTTCGTTATATTCTCCTTCAAAATCCAACAATCGAAAAACATGGACCTTGCTATCTTTCCCTGTAATTAAACAGAGAGAGATTTAGATGACTGATGCCATTTACTAGTAACAAGCATGCAAATAAAGGTGCGATCTGGATATTGTTTTATCTATTGAAAATTAAAAAATACTTTTAAAATAGCGAGTATACCCAAATGAATAAAGAACTTCTCAAGACAGTAAATTGGAGATATGGATTCCTATACGGGTATGTCAGTAGAAATATTGTTTCCTAACACAGGTATCTCATTAGGAATATTGTTTCCTAACACAGGTATCTCAGTAGGAATATTGTTTTCGAACACAGGTATCTCAGTAGGAATATGACTTCCTATCGCAGGTATCTAAACAGGTCGTTGACCTTCCAATCACAGGTATTTGAATATCAATACGGCTTCCTATCACATGTACTTCAATCAGAACATCGTCGTCGTCGTCATCACCATAATCAGCAGCAGCAGCACCAAAATCAACATCATTAAACCACAACCTCATCATCATCATCATCATCATCATCATCATCATCATCAACCATCATCATCATCATCATCATCATCATCATCATCATCATCATCATCATCATCAACCACCATCATCAATATCATCAACATCATCATCAGTAGAAGTCATTATCTTCACGGTATATTTATCAACACACTCGTCATTTATCATTCTACCGTCACACATCTTCCACACCCTCACACACGATTATCATTACAATAATAAACGATCAGAATTTCATCATCTACTGAGTTTCCTATAGCATTGTCATAATCTGAAGTTACCCAAAAATAAAGCTTTTCTTATTTTAAGAAAATGGAATCAATAGTGCATCAAGAAGAGTTTTAACATTAACCAAACAATTCTGAGTTTCTCACATTCTCACAAAGTATGAATGATTGCCTCTCTCTCCAAGTTACAAAGAGGACAGATATCTTCGCAAAATATTTCAATTCGACAATAGATTATTTTAAAAACATTTCTGAACCGTCTAAAATAAGTGAAGTGTCATCTGCATACTGTGAAAGCAGAATTGGACAGTTATTCACATTGATACCCTTAATCTCATTGTTATTTCTAAGTCTTATTCAAAGTATTTCAACACATAGTATGAAAAGGTATGGTGCAACTGGGTCGCCTTGACGACAGTCTCTTTTGATATTTACAAAAGAAGATAAATTACCCCCTGATTTACAGTTGCAGTAACGTTAGTGTGAAACAATCTAATCCACTTTCGAATATCAGGACCAAAATTTAAATAATTCAAAACATTATCAATAAATTTCCATGATACTGAGTCAAACGCTTTCTCAAAATCTAACATTAATAACATACCTGGGATATATCTTTCGTCTGCATATTGCATAATATCATACACAAGTATAATATTTTCTCCAATATAGCGACCTGAAAGAAATTCTGTTTGATCCTCACAAATTAACTTATCTAAAACTGTTCTAATCCTATATGCTATGCATCCTGAGGCTATCTTATAAACTATATTTGATAATGTTATAGGTCGCCAAGTTTTGTAAAACTGTCTGGGCTTATCACCATTGGGAATACAAGTAATGGCCTTCCTTTAATACCTAAGTTCAAACTATAAATTCTGTCTTCTCAGATTACTCGAATTCTCACTACGAATACGACCTTCCACATCCCTAAAGTTCTAAATAAGTATTGCCTTCCATTTACACTGAAGTCTCGAAAATGTTGAAAACGAGTGTCGGCAGCCTAGTTTACCTATTACTTAATTACGGAGAAAGTAGTCAAGGATGGAGAGAAAATATGAGAAGGCAAATTTAGGTGTAATGATGTAGTGATCACGCCAGGTTCATTTTTACGCTTGAGCAGTTATTATGTAATAGCAAAAATCAAATAGTCATCATTTATGAAATAGTATTCTACATACTTAAACAAACTTCATAACCTTACATCTTACAAAAAATAAAACGATTATTACACATGCTATATTACCTTTCTCACTTCTCAGCACAAGGAGTCCGTGCGCTTCAACAATAGTTAATTGCTTCACCAAAACTGTCCTGTCAAATATTGTTCTGGGCGGCAAACCCTCTGAAATAAGGAATCCCATTACTTGATTAATCTTAATGCATTGCTTTTCTTTTCCATAATTGGAGTCAACATTTAGACCCTACTTGTATTTATTTGCTTTTTCGCCATATGTAGATCATTGAGTAGTCAATATCACTACTGATATTCGTAACATACCTCCTTGTATAACACCAGATGGAGTTGCAAAATCTGACTTAAAGATTTATATTAAAGGTCCTGAACTCAAATACATGTAGATTTGACTCTGTATTACCGGCTGCAGGGAATACTGACTGCTAAAAATGTCAGTGTGAAAGTGTAATGTGTAGAAAATATTAGAAGTGCTAACTCAGATAAAGACCATTGCAAACACTGTTTGGTGAGCCTAATAGTGTTAACACTCCATATGACGAACCAGCTATTCTTAATTTCTGATGAGTGTTTCTTTTATGGAGAGGATTTCAAACAAAATATTCTCACCTGTGGAAAAGAGAGCCTTGGTATATGCTACATGCATCGACGTGCCAAAATAGATATTATATTTTCCATTATTTGTGGTGTCTTTTTGATGCACATGTTTACTATGAACAATGTTTGCTGACTGCCTTAGCCCGTCTTTAACAAGCGACCTGACAGGAAAAGCATTACAAAAAATACTCATCTCAAGACAGAGCTTGTCAGGTGACCATAAACTGAGACATGCACTATCTGCAAGTAGCCCAACCAATGTTGACGTTGATGTTGACCACCTCGTTTAAGAGGATTGCAAGCACATTTTAGCAAACGCAAAACCCACAACATATTCTCCAATATATCAATTGAGAATCGTGTTCTTGTAAATTCAACGCCTAGTTTCCTCTGTGTAAAGTTGCAGATTAGCATTTCATGTTCTTAGCGTGATGTCTTGTGTGGTCTTACGAACTAAAAATAGCCGATCAGCCTTTTCAAAGATCAGCATACTGTTGGCAAAAAAGCACCTATGTCAAGTTTATGAGCAATGTCGTTCAAACCCGGTATGCACTAGATACTAATGGGCCCTTTTTATTAATGAAAAGATGCAAAGATCATGACAAAATTACTCACAACGGTTGAGAACCTGGACTTGTGTCTCAGCAATGATGACAATTTAATTGTTGACCGAGGTTAAGTGATGTGTTTGACCTGAGGTTCAGGGTTTTCTGTGTACATGCCTGTTTATATTCTTTCATGTCAGACACAGCAAGATGAGCAATTCATTTCAAACTATTGCCTCAACACCACAGAACTGCTTAAAGTAATGAAAGTTTCTTTTTTATGTTATATGGTAACTAATGTATGAGTCCAAACTAAAGCAGGAAGACAGGGACTGTCGCCTTGCCGAGCGCATGTAATCCCGTTTGGCTTTGCCGCAATGGTACCTGATGAACTCGAATCTTTCTAGACGCAACATGATCAACTGGGTAAAGCTTGAAGACTGTTCAATCAAAAGATCTTTACTTGATATGGAATAGCGAGACATTTATAGATTAGCTGACTAAATCTTTTAAATTCAATCCTAAATTAAATATTGTAAGTATTTTTACAAATTTTATTCATGTAACTTTGAACGAAGGTAGATGTCACCAAACTCCACCCCATTCACGTAAACAACCTACTTGAAGACACACATTATACCGAGAGCATGAAAACGAAGCTGGATACTTCTTCTTCGTTTAATTTGATTTTTTCTTTATTTTTGTTTTGTAAGGCAAACGTGTCAAATTAGAAATTTACCGGTTGTTACTTTTTCATAAATTTCGATGTTGAAAAAGAATGATTAATCATCAGTCAACTTCTCAGACTGGTTTTTGTAACTTTGTAAATTAGCGTGTCAAAACTAGTCATTTTCCACCGTTGTTGGACCACACAGCGTTAAACGATGGGTGATTTTTGCACGATGTAGGAAGGATAGAAAAAAAAAAACTGTACGAAATAAGTCTTCGCACATTTGTGTGATTTTATGATAGTAGATATAAATTTATAAATGACTTAGAGACAATTGTGGGATAGTGTTTATTTATTTTCTAAGTGTATAAGAGTACAACTTAGTGGATTTTCTAATCAATTTATCAATTATACTTGGGCACATGTAGATATATTGAATAGTTAAGTGCCACATGTCCTGGTGTACAGGCACTCATTATACATATATTTTATGCGTAAACATTAAATTGACGTCTTCTTTTGTCCTGGCAATGAATCGTCTAAAATTTCAAACGGTCAGAAAAGAAACTTTATTTTCGTTACTCCTGTATAACTCTCATTTTTTCTATCATTTTATTATTAAAAAATACATCCTAACGTAAATCTAAACTGTTTTGTTGCACGTGTGACTTAGCCGGTGTGGTTCTGGACCTACCATGTCTATACCACTATACAGGTACATCATGATGCCTGAAACACACCGCTCGCCACTGACTGAGGTGTGATATATACGATAAACTAATTAATACATGGTTCAGTGTTATTTCGAAAATTGAATAGAAAATGACTTGTAATATCACTGATCAATTTTAATATTCATGTGATCTCTATTTAGTCAAACTACATTAGTTTTTCGTTTGGTTTTCAATTCGTAATGTTATCTAACCATTTTCATCAAACCGTAAAATACGTGCTGTCCTATCGCACAGTTTTATGCACGACACTATATAACGCGTGTATGCGCACAATGTTTGCACAATGTGCGCCGCACGAAGTTTTTGGTGTGTTGTGAGTTACCACAAATGTAACTAGCTATAAACATTTCTATCTTTAACATTTTTTCGGTATCAAAATAACAGTTAAAATATTGACACACAATGAAGATAAAATTTCATAGAAATTGTTTCATTTAAATGTGGTAGAAGAGATTGTATTAGAACCAGTTTAACACACACAGGTGTAAGTCACTGAGGTCCCACTTTTCATAGAGTGCATTCTGAACCTATTTTTTCCTGATCTAACCTTCCTATGTCCATACATGTTTGTATGTATCGGATTTAGAAATTCTAAGAAAAGACTGACACAAATATATAATCTTCGTAAAGGTTGGCCTAACCTTTCACAATTTCCATAATGTAACACATACCTTCAAGTACAACTGTTCCAGCATCTGTAGCAAGCACCAGTTTGTCACCTGTAATATTAACATTTCAGAAACAGATCATTGGAAATTGATAGGTAAAAGAAAACTAATATTTGAAATGGTTAATTTGTTAACATTATATATCTAATATCTTAAGAAAACCACTTACCCCATGAATCGCCACAATGAATAGGATGCTGGAAATCCATATATATATGCTGTGGTTCCCAGGGCTACAAATTACAAATCAGGCGACAAATGAGATTGCAGAATATACTAATAGCACACTGAATCGAATGGGTTAAAAGCGTTCGATTGATTTCACAATTCTTCGGACAGGGCGACATTCTTTTGTCCTATTAAACATATCACAATCTGTTCAGACTGATTCAAAGATCATACGAAAGACAGAGATGTGGAAAGCGCCTATCAATTCATATTTAGAATTTTAAACTGTTTGAAACCTAACTTAATGAAGATAATGTCAGAATATGGATGGTGATGTGCACTAGACCCATAATTCACTAAATGTAATTTTTACACAACAGATAAATGTTTTATGTCAAAGGAGTTGGCGCTGTAGCGTGTTTTATTTGCTGCAAAAATATTGCTGTAAAAGTACATTACTGCGTGTTGTATAGGAGTATGCCACCCTGAAAACCCTTCTGAGCGACTTGTTATAGTATACCATTGCAGAATGTTTTGGTTACTGAGCGAGTTCGCGAACCAAAAAACATCTCCACAGTGTTGTGCTAAATGGGCAAATGTCAGAGAAAAATCGATACTAATGCAGAGTACTGCGTTTCTGTGTAAGTGTACTGTTGTAGAATATGCCTCTTTTCTACACCAGCTATACACTATACCACTCTTATATACATTGTAGCGGAGTGTTATATTAGCCAAGAAAGTTCGCATGCTAGTATACCACGACAGAATGTTTCGATTGCCTGGCTAGTAGGTGTGTTAATATACCACGACAGAATGTTTCGATTGCTTGTCTAGTAGGTGTGTTAGTATACCACGACAGGATGTTTCGATTGCCTGGCTAGTAGGTGTGTTAGTATACCATGACAGAATGTTTCGATTGCTTGGCTAGTAGGTGTGTTAGTATACCACGACAAAATACCAGGTGTGTTGACAGAATGTTTCGATTGCTTGGCTAGTAGGTGTGTTAGTATACCACGACAGAATGTTTCGATTGCTTGGCTAGTAGGTGTGTTAGTATACCACGACAGAATGTTTCGATTGCTTGGCTAGTAGGTGTGTTAGTATACCACGACAGAATGTTTCGATTGCTTGGCTAGTAGGTGTGTTAGTATACCACGACAGAATGTTTCGATTGCCTGGCTAGTATGTGTGTTAGTATACCACGACAGAATGTTTCGATTGCTTGGCCAGAAGGTGTGTTAGTATACCACGACAGAATGTTTCGATTACTTGGTATACCACGACAGAATGTTTCGATTGCTTGGCTAGTAGGTGTGTTAGTATACCATGACAGAATGTTTCGATTGCCTGGCTAGTAGGTGTGTTAGTATACCACGACAGAATGTTTCGATTGCTTGGCTAGTAGGTGTGTTAGTATACCATGACAGAATGTTTCGATTGCCTGGCTAGTATGTGTGTTAGTATACCACGACAGAATGTTTCGATTGCTTGGCCAGAAGGTGTGTTAGTATACCACGACAGAATGTTTCGATTACTTGGTATACCACGACAGAATGTTTCGATTGCTTGTCTAGTAGGTGTGTTAGTATACCACTCTGTTAACGACGAGGTACATCAACTTTCCACTCTGTCAATAACAGGTACATCGACTTACCTCCCTGTTAATGACGATGTACATCGACTTACCTTTATGTTAAAGGCCAGGTACATCGACTTATCTCTCCATTAATGACGAGGTACATCAACTTACCTCTCTGTTAATGACGAGGTAAACGGGACGTACCTCTCTGTTAATGACGAGGTATATCGACTTTCCTCTCTGTTGATGACGAGGTACATCAAATTACCTCCCTGTTAATAACGCGGTGCATCGAATAACCTTTCTGTTAATGACGATATAGATCGAATTACCTCACTGCTAATGACCAGGTACATCGACTTTCCTCTCTGTTAATGACCAGGTACATCGACTTTCCTCTCTGTTAATGACGAGGTACATCGAATTACCTCCCTGTTAATGATGATGTACATCGACTTACCTTTATGTTAAAGGCCAGGTACATCGACTTATCTCTCCATTAATGACGAGGTACATCAACTTACGTCTCTGTTAATGACGAGGTAAACGGGACGTACCTCTCTGTTAATGACGAGGTATATCGACTTTCCTATCTGTTGATGACGAGGTACATCAAATTACCTCCCTGTTAATAACGCGGTGCATCGAATAACCTTTCTGTTAATGACGATATAGATCGAATTACCTCACTGCTAATGACCAGGTACATCGACTTTCCTCTCTGTTAATGACCAGGTACATCGACTTTCCTCTCTGTTAATGACCAGGTACATCGAATTACCTCCCTGTTAATGACGAGATACATCGACTTACCTCTATGTTAAAGGCCAGGTACATCGACTTACCTTTATGTTAAAGGCCAGGTACATCGACTTATCTCTCCATTAATGACCTCTCTGTTAATGACGAGGTAAACGGGACGTACCTGTCTGTTAATGACGAGGAACATCGACTTTCCTCTCTGTCAATAACAGGTACATCGACTAACCTCTCTGTTGATGACGAGTTAAATCAACTTACCTATCTGTTAATGACGAGGTAACGCGAATTATCTATCTGTAAATGACGAGGTACATGGGACTTACCTTTCTAATAATGACGAGATACATCGACTTACCTCTATGTTAATGACGAGGTGCATCGACTAACCTCTCTGTTAATGACGATGTACATCGACTTACCTCTCTGTTAATGACGATGTACATCAACTTACCTCACTATTAATGACGAGGTACATCGACTTACCTCTCTGTTAATGACGAGGTACATTGACTTACCTCTCTGTTGTTGACCAGGTATATCTACTTATCTTTCTGTTAATGAGAGGGAACATGGGACTTACCCCTCTGTAAATGACGAGGTACATGAGACTTACCTCTCTAATAATGACGAGGTAACGCGAATTATCTATCTGTAAATGACGAGGTACATGGGACTTACCTTTCTAATAATGACGAGATACATCGACTTACCTCTATGTTAATGACGAGGTGCATCGACTAACCTTTATGTTAATGACGATGTACATCGACTTACCTCTCTGTTAATGACAAGGTACATTGACTTACCTCTCTGTTGTTGACCAGGTATATCTACTTATCTCTCTGTTAATGAGGGTGAACATGTGACTTACCTCTCTGTAAATGACGAGGTACATGAGACTTACATCTCTAATAATGACGACTTACCTCTATGTTAAAGGCCAGGTACATGGGACTTACCTCTCTGTTAATAACCATGTACATGGGACTTATCTCTGTGTTACAGACCAGGTTCATCGACTTTTCTCTCTTTTATTGACAAGGTATATCGACTAACCTCTCTGTTAATGACTAGGTACATATAACTTACCATGTGTTAATGACGAGGTACAACGAATAATCTCTGTTAATGACCAGATACATCGACTTTCCTCTCTTTTATTGAAGAGGTACATCGACTTACCCCTCTGTAAATAACGATGCACATCAGATTAACCTCTCTGTTAATGACGAGGTACATCGACTATCATTTCAGATAATGACGAAGTACATCGACTTATCTCTCTTTAAATGTCTATGTATATCGACTAACCTCTCTGTAAATGACCAGGTACATTGGAGTTACTTCTCTGTAACAGACCAGGTTCATAGACTTTCCTCTCTTTTTTCACGAGATACATCAACTTTCGACATTGTTAATGATAAGGTACATCGAGTTACCTCTCTGTTTATGAGGAGGTTACTCGAATTATATATCTGTAAATGACGATGTACATCAACTTAACTCTCTGTTAATGACGAGGTACAAGGTACTTACCTCTCTATAAATGACAAGGTTCATCGACTTACCTCTCTGATAATGACGATGTGCATCGACTTACCTCAATGTTAATGAACAGGTGCATCGACTTATCTCTCTGTTAATGACGAGGTATATCGGATTTCCTCTCTGTTACAGACCAGTTTCATCGACTTTTCTCTCTTTTATTGACGAGGTACAACGACTTACCTCTCTGTAAATGACGAGGTAAATGGGACTTATCTCTATGTTAATGACGAGATACATGGGACTTACTTTTCTGTTAATGACCAGATACATCGACTGACCTCGCTGATAATGACGAGGTACATGGGACTTATCTCTATGTTAATGACAAGATAAATGAGACTTAATTTTCTGTTAATGACCAGATACATCGACTTACTTCTCTGTTAATGACGAGGTATATTGACTTACCTGTCTGTTGTTGACCAGGTATATCTACTTATCTCTCTGTTAATGAGGAGGAACATGGGACTTACTTTTCTGTTAATGACCAGATACATCGACTAACCTCTCTGAAAATGACGAGTTACATGGAACTTACCTCTCTGTTAATGACGAGGAACATCGACTAACCTCTCTGTTAATGACGAGGTACATTGGACTTACCTCTCTGTTACAGACCAGACTTTCCTCTCTTTTTTTGACGAGATACATCAACTTTCAATTTTATTAATGATAAGGTACATCGACTTACCTCTCTGTTTATGAGGAGGTAACTCGAATTATCTATCTGTAAATGACGATGTATATCAACTTACCTCTTTGTAAATGACGAGGTTAATCGACTTACCTCTCTGATAATGACGATGTGGATCGACTTACCTCAATGTTAATGACCAGGTGCATCGACTTATCTTTCTTTTAATGACGAGGTACATCGACTTACTTCTCTGTTGTTGACCAGGTACATCTACTTATCTCTCTGTAACTGACGAGGTACATCGACTGACATCTCTGTCAATGACGATATACATTGGACTTACTTCTCTGTTAATGACGATATACATGGAACTTACCTCTATGTTAATGACGAGGTACATGGGACTTACCTCTGTGTTAATGACCAGGTACATGGACTTTCCTCTCAGGTTAATGACCATGTACATCGACTTTCCTCTCTGTTAATGACGAGGTACATCGAATCATCTCTCTGTTAATAACGAGGTGCATGGGACTTATCTCTCTGTTAATGACGAGGTACATCGACTGACATCTCTGTCAATGACGATATACATTGGACTTACTTCTCTGTTAATGACGATATACATGGAACTTACCTCTATGTTAATGACGAGGTACATGGGACTTACCTCTGTGTTAATGACCAGGTACATGGACTTTCCTCTCAGGTTAATGACCATGTACATCGACTTTCCTCTCTGTTAATGACGAGGTACATCGAATTATCTCTCTGTTAATGACGAAGTACATCGCCAAACTTCTCTGTTACTCTGTCAAGGTACATCGATTTACCTATATGTTAATGACAAGGTACATTCAATGTTAAATGGGACTAACCTTTCTCTGAAAATGACGAGGTACCTGGGACTTATCTTTCTCTTAATGACGAGGTACATGGGACTTACCTCTCTGTTAATGACTAGGTACATCGACTTACCTTTCTGATAATGACAATGTACATTTGACTTACATCTCTGTAACAGACCAGGTTCATCGAATTTCCTTTCATTTATTGACGAGGTACAACGGCTTTCCTCTCTGTTGATGAAGAGGTTCTTTCTTCTATCTCTAATATCAAGGTATATAATAATTTCCCCTTCTTTGAGAATGTTGTCCGACTTACCTCTCTTTTAAGGATTCCGGTAGTAATCAAACTCGTTGGAGCATCTCCTTTTATTATAGTTTTGAGTTTTAATGTCTGCAAAAATACAACAAATTGAATAAATCTATCGAAAATAATGCAACAGCAATATTGCAGAACAAAAGTCTCTACACTACTTTTAGTAAATGATTAGCTGTATTTGACATTGACTTATACACATACTAGTGTAAATAGTCTCTATACTAAATCCGTCCGTCTGCTGACATTACATACAAAACGTCTGTCTACTGACATTATATACCAAATGTCTGTCTACTGACATTAGAACCAAACGTCTGTCTACTAACATTACATACCAAACGACTGTCTACTGACATAACATACAAATCTTCTGTCTACTGACATTACAAATAAAACGTTTGTCTAATGACATTATATGGCAAACGTCTGTCTACTGACATTACATACCAAACTGCTGTCTACTGACATAACATACCAAACGTCTGTCTACTGACATAACATACCAAACTTCTGTCTACTGAAATTACAAATAAAACATTTGTCTACTAAAATAGCATATCAAATGTCTGTCTAAAAACATTACATACCAAGCATCTATCTACTGACATAACATCCCAAACATCTATCTTCTGACATTATATGCCAAACGTCGGTCTACTGACATTACATACCAACTGTCTGTCTACTTAAATAACATACCTAACCTCTTTCTACTAACATTACATACCAAACGTCTGTCTACTGACAATACATGCTAAACGTCTTTCTAATGTCAAAACATACAAAACGTGTGTCTAAAGACATTAAATATCAAATGTTTGTCTACTAACGTCACATGCCAAACGTCTGTCTACTGACATCACATACCAAACGCCTGTCTACAAGCATAGCATATTAAGCCTCTATCTTCTGACATTACATACCAGACCTCTCTCTACTATGATAACATATCAAATGCCTCTCTTATAATGTTACATACCAAACGTCTGTCTAATAACATCAAATTCCAAATCTCTCTCTGCTGACATTACATATCAAATATCTGTCTGTTGTCATTACATTCTAAACATCTGTCTACAGACATTACAAGCCAAACTTCTGTGTACTGACATTACATGCCAAAAGTCTGTCTGCTGACATAACATGCCAAACGTCTGTCTACTGACGTTAAATATCAAAAGTGGTCTAATGATATTACCTGCCAAACTTCTGTCAACTGACCTTACATACCAAACCTCTTTCTACTGATATTACATACCAAACATAGGTCTGCTGACATTACATACCAACTGTCTGTCTACTAAAATAACATAACTAACCTCTTTCTACTGACATTACATACCAAACGTCTGTAAACTGAAATTAAAACTAAACGTCTATCTACTGACACTATATACCAAAAGATTGTCTACTGATATAACATACCAAATGTCGGTCTGCTGACATTACATACCAACTGTCTGTCTACTGACATTACATACCTAACCTCTTTCTACTAACATTGCATACCAAAGGTCTATCTACTGAAATAAGAACTAAACGGAAATCTACTGACATTACATGCCAAAAGTCTATCTGCTGACATTACATACCAAACGTCTGTCTACTGATATCACATACCAAACATTTGACTACTGACATCAAATAGCAAACGTCTGTCTACTGACATTACACACCAAAAGTCTGTCTACTGACATAACATACCAAACGTCTATCTATTGAAACTAAATAACAACATCTGTCTACTTACATTACATAACAAATGTCTGTTAACTGACATTACATACACAATCTCTTTCTACTGAAATTACATTTCAAACGTCTGCCAACTTACATTACAGACCAAATGTCAGTCAACTGACATTACATAGCAAACGTCTGTCTACTGACAATACATACCATACTTCTGTCTACTGACATTCCTTCTCGAACGTTTGTCTACTGAAATTACATACCAAAGGTATGTCTACTGAAATTAAAAACCAAACGGCTGTCTACTGACATTACATGCAAAACGTCGGTCAACTGACATAACATACGAAACGTCTGTCTACTGACATTACAAACCAAACGTTTGTCTACTAACATTACATACCAAACATCTGTCTGCTGAAACTATTTTCTAAACGTCTGTCTACTGACATTATATACCAAACGTTTGTCTACTGACATTACATACCAAACATCTGTCTTCTGACATTAAATTCCAAATGTCTGTCTGCTGACATAACATGCCAAGCATGTATCTACTGACAATACATACAAAACATCTGTCTTTTGACATTATATTCTAAATGTCTGTCTACTGACATAATATGCCAAAAGTCTGTTTAAAAACATTAAATACCAAAGGTCTATCTACTGACATTACATGCCAAACGTCTGTCTACTGACATAACGTACTAAACGTTTGTCTACTGACATTACATACCAAACGTCTGTCTGCTGAGATTACATGTCAAAAGTCTGTCTGCTAACATTACATATTAAACGTCTGTCTACTGATATCACATACCAAACATTTGACTACTGACATCAAATAGCAAACGTCTGTCTACTGACATTACACACCAAAAGTCTGTCTACTGACATAACATACCAAACGTCTATCTTCTGAAACTAAATATCAAACGTCTGTCTACTGACATTACTTCTTGAACGTTTGTCTACTGACATTACATACCAAAGGTATGTCTACTGACATTAAAAACCAAACGTCTGTCTACTGACATTACATCCCAAACGTCTTTCTAAAAGCATAACATATCAAAACTCCTGATATTACATACCAAACATCTGTCTAATGATGTTACACACCAAACGTCTGTCTACTAGCATAACATACCAAATCTCACTCTGCTGACATTACATATCAAATGTCTGTCTGTTGTCATTATTAAACGTCTGTCTACAGACATTACATACCAAACGTCTGTCTACTGACACTACATACCAAAAGTCTGTCAATTGACTTTACATACCAAATTTCTGTCAACTGACTTTACATACCAAACATTACACTACTGACTTTACATACCAAACATTTCACTACTGACTTTACATACCAAACATTTCACTACTGACTTTACATACCAAACATTTCACTACTGACTTTACATACCAAATGTCTGTCCACTGACATAACATACCAAACGTCTGTCTACTGACATAACATACCAAACATCTGGCTACTGACATTGCAAATCAAAAGTCTGTCTCCTGACATTACAAATAAAACGTTTGTTTACTGACATTACATGCCAAACGTCTGTCTATTGACATTACATACTAAATTTCTATCTACTGACAATACAAACCAAACGTCTGTCTAATGACATAACATACCAAACGTCTGTCTACTGATATCACATACCAAACATCTGTCTAAAAACATTACATACCAAGTCTCTGTTTCTTGATATTACATACCAAACATCTGTCTACTGACATATCATCCCAAACGTCTATCTTCTGACATTATATACCAATTGTCTGTCTACTGACATTACATACCAAAGGTCGGTATACTGACTTTTCATATCAAATGTCTGTCTCCTGCTATTACATACCAAATGTGTGTCTACTGACATCACATACCAAACGTCTGTCTACTAAAATAACATATCAGACGTCTCTCTAATGATGTTGCATACCAAACGTCTGTCTACTGATATTACATACCAAACATTTGTTTACTGACATTACATACGAAACGTCTGTCTGACGAGAATACATGTCAAAAGTCTCTCTGCTAACATTACATATTAAACGTCTGTCTACTGATATTACATACCAAACATTTGACTACTGACACTACATAACAAACGTCTGTCTACTGACATTACATACCAAACGTCTGTTTAATGACATTACACACCAAAAGTCTGTCTACTTACATTACATAACAAATATCTGTCAACTGACATTACATATCAAACCTCTTTCTACTGAAATTACATATCAAAGGTCAGCTAACTGACATCACATAGCAAACGTCTGTCTACTGACAATACATACCAAACGTCTTTCTACTGACATTACTTCTCGAACGTCTGTCAACTGACATAACATATCAAACCTCTTTCTAAAAACATTACATATCAAAACTCTGTCTAATAAAATAACATAGCAAATGTCTCTCTAATGATGTTACATACCAAACGTCTGTCTACTAGCATAACATACCAAATCTCACTCTGCTGACATTACGTATCAAATGTCTGTCTGTTGTCATTACATACTAAACGTCTGTCTACAGACATTACATACCAAATAGTCTGTCTAATGAAATTACATGCCAAGCGTCTTTCTACTCACATTATATGCCAAACGTCTGTCAACTAAAGGTCTGTCTACTGACATTACAAACTAAACGTTTGTTTACTAACATTACATACCAAACATCTGTTTGCTGACATTATATTCCAAACGTAAACCTACTGACATTAAAAACCAAACAGCTGTCTACTGACATTACATGTCAAAAGTCTGTCTAAAAACATTACATACCAAAGGTATATTTACTGGCATTACATACCAAACGTCTGTCTACTGACATAACATACCAAACGTCTCCCTAATGATGTTACATACCAAACGTCTGTCTACTAGCACAAACCTCTCTCTGCTGACATTACATATCAAATGTCTATCTGTTGTCATTACATACTAAACGTCTGTCTATAGACATTACAAAACAAACATCTGTGTACTGACATAACATGATAAATGTCTGCCTACTGATAATACATACCATATAGTCTGTCTAATGACATTACATGACAAGCGTCTGTCTACTGACATTACATGCCAACAGTCTGTCTAAAAACATTTCATACCAAAGGTCTGTCTACTGACATTACAAACCAAACGTCTGTCTACGTATGTTACATACCAAACGTCAGTCTAATAACCTTACATACCTAACGTTTCCCTACTGGCATTACATACCAAACGTCTGTCTACTGACATTACATACCAATCTTCCGTCTAATGACATTACAAATAAAACGTTTGTCTACTAGCATTACATACCAAACGTCAGTCTACTAACCTTACATACCTAACGTTTCCCT